GTATTTGTGAGCTCTAGTTTTCAAAGATCTAGCAGTTATCCCCACATACTAGCTTTTGTATCATCCTCAGCTCTTGTGCTGGTCGAAGATTCACTTTTTTTTGTACAGTAGACCGTCATTTAGCACGGTAGTTACAGTCCTGAAAATGCTGTGTTAGGTAAAATCGTGTTAGATGAACTGAAGAACTTATGGGAAAAATAGGCTTACGTTCCTGGGAGCCCCCCAAAAACCAAACAACTGTTTTTAGGCCTCCACATCTTACAAAAATAAAAGTGAATATGTAGTTTTAGTTCATTGTTGTGATGTATTATGTTGTTTTTACTGCTTAAGACTACATATGTAACAGAAATAATAGTATTTCCTACCTTAGATTGTGGGTGCTGGTGTTTGTGGATGATTGTGAAGAGAGTGGAAAGTAATGCTGTGGCCCTACTGGGCTGAGGTGGATGGTAGAGGTTCTGGTTCTGAAGTCGATGGTTGTACTGGAGTGTCTGACTTCAAGTCGCTCAGTAACTCAGTCAAGTCACTCAGTAAGTCATTTCAGTCAGTCACACAAACTCATGTTTACCTCTTTTTCTGTATACAAAGTAACACTTCATTATGGCTACAGGTTATCTCTTGTCTAATATCTTTGTTTCTTTGTTAATTCTAAGACTTAAGTGCTCAATACCTCTACATGCCACTTTCAGCAACACTGGTATGGCTACTGGGTGTCATGATTGCTTGGCAGATACAAGATATAGTAATTAAAATATCACACAATTCACAAACACAGCTGCCTTGTAGCAGAGAAAGACTGGACTGGACATGTATGAATTATGAACGCTGGGATGGTGGGGTGGTGTCGGGGAGTAGTAGTGGATGGCGGGAGGACTCCCCGGCAGCTCGACAACAAGGCGGCCGCTTGAGCAAAAGAGAACTTTTTTTTCCTTCCCACAAACTGAACCGTGTTAAATTAATTATACGACGTGTTACATAAAATCGTGCCGCAATTCTTCAATCGTGCAATACCCAAATCATGCCAAATAAACTCGTGCTAAATGACGGTCTACTGTATTTCATCAAGTTTTCGATTGATGATGTGAAGTCAGTGGCTGTTTTGAATAGCTGGTTGTAAAATAACTTAGCCTTATTAGATTCCATGTTGCTTGCCAAGCCTTATTAGATTCCATGTTGCTTGCCAGCAAAGCAATGTACAGTGGAACCTTGACCTACGAGTTTAATCCGTTCCGTGACTTAGCCTGTAACTCAATTTACTTGTGTGTCAAATCTATTTTCCTCATTTAAATTAATTGAAAAGCCATTAATCCATTCCTGCACTCTGGAGACAAGACAGAATACTTGAATATGATGCTAATATCAACTGTACGGCTTATTTATCTATCACAATTCATCTAATATGACATAATAAACAATATAATTAACACAGAAACATGATATATACTCTAGAATAAAATAGCCCATAATATGGTGGCAGAGGCAGCAGCCTCTGTATCTTCCCATGCTCTTATTGTAAGAGAAAATGGAATATTTGTGAGGCTAACTTCAGAAATATCATATATAAAAATATAAATCATGATACACTACAGAATGTAAAGAAATATTAAACTGTTTATATAAAGTGTATATGTACTTACACACTTGGAGCAGAGATGGTAGGGGAGATTGAGGGTGGGGGAAGTTGAGGGTGGGAGAGGTTGAGGGTGTGGCAAGTGATGTCAGTGGCCCTGTAAACCTCCAACAACAATGTTTTGTTTGATCGCTGAACTTAACTGATACAATTTGTTTTGTTTAATCACTGAACATAACTGATAAAGCTTTAGTATCTACATACAGTAGGTGTACTAAGCTGGCATTGCCCGGCTAAGTCCATAGAAATCATCCTCTTTTTCTTCTCAGCACTGTCCTATGCACTTGTTTTCTTAGGGCCCATGGTTAGAAAAAAGAAATTTGGCCAAATGACTTTAAAAAAAAAATGGGAAAAAGCATAGAAAACTGCCCCCCCGTTGATGTAAATTTTTGTTACCAATTTTTTGGCATCAGCGTGCCAACTAGGGGAGCTTCGTTTATTTTTACGACGTATTATTAATTAAAAATTTTTATTAAGGGAACGAAGCTTTCATTGTTATATTTTAAATGTGATTTTTTTTATTAATTTGGGGAAACGGGGCACAGATCTAATTCCCTAGATCAAGCCCCCCTCCCCAGCGCAAGGTTCTCACGTGTGAGGGCCTTGATCTAGGGAATTGGATCTGTGCTCTAGTTACCTAAATTAATAATAATAATTGTTATTATTATTATTATAATGAACGCTGCCAACTCAGTGCACTGTTTAACTTGCTGTGGGACCAGTTCTCTTGTGCTTTGCTTACATTTTTAAGTCATTTGGCCAAATTTCATTTTTCTAAGCATGGGTCCTAAGAAAGTAAGTGTCAAGGACAGTGTTGAGAAGAAAATGAGGATGATATCCAGGGAATTAAAGCAAGAAATCATAGATAAACAAGCGAGGTGTCCAGGTTTTGGGTTGAGGGGAAACTGGCACGTAACTCAGCAAAAAATCGACCCAGGGACGGCTCGTATCTCAAAAAACTCGTACGTTGGGACACTCGTAAGTCAAGGTTCCAACTGTATTTGGTAGCTTTCTCTACTGTTGTTGTTGTTCAGTCTGTAGAGTACATTTATGACACACTTCCTTCCCTCTCATATAGTGTAGTGGGAATTGTAATAAACCAAAAACAAACCAGTCAAACTCAGAAGATTAATTGGTCTGTATATTTCCAAACCCCTTCTGTTCTGTATATTTTGATCCCCTTCTGGGATCAAAATATACAGACCATTTAATCTTCTGAGTCTGTTTACATGTGGATTATTATTGAGCATTGACAGGTGTTTATTACACTTTAGTTCTGCAAGTATTTTAATATGTCAAGGCTGCTAATGTCATTTAATATTGAGTTTGAGTGTCAAGCCCTGAAAATGAGTTTTGCATCCTGGGAACTGGTGTAGTGTTCAGCTGTAAATATCACTCTGAAGACTGCATTGAGTATATATCAGTTTGTTATTCTTCTATTATTACTAGCTAAAGGTTCTATCATTGCTTTTACTTACCTTTAAATCCCTTTTCCCCCATCCCATGCACTCGAGATAATTATTTTGGGGAGTTACCTTTGACATTTTGTGTAGTTTATCTTTCAAATTCCAGTTTAACATTTGTGATTTTTATCTTGCTTTTTCTAAAACAATATGTAGTCAATTGTAATTTCTTTTGTTATATTTTTTGTCATTAGTCTTGACTAGTTATCTTGTCTGCCAGTCTGATTATATATATATATATATTTTTTTACATTAGCATTTTTGGTATGTTATCCTCTCATGCTATTTAATTTTTTTTTTAAATTCACATTTTCTCTACATTACTGTATTTATGTTTAGTAGTTTAATCCAGTTTGTTACTGATATCTCAGTGCATCTTATCAAGAATTAGTTGCTCTGTGAATGGGAACCATCATAATATTCATAGTACAATAGTTCATTATGTATGATAGCTACTTATTAAATCATTTTTTATTCTAATGATGTAAGGCATGAAGTGGTTTACAGTTAGTATCATATTTTTACTTATCCATTGCCACTTGTTTTCAATGTACTGTATTGTAATTGACCACTATGAAATTAGTTGGAGCTTATCATAATTAGATAAGTAAGATTGTACAGAAGTAATACTCTGGATGAGATTTTATTTTTCTTTGTATATTATTTTGCTCTTAAGCTTGAATTTTGGAGTTGAAATGAAGCTGAAGCTTTAATGATATATCCTCTTGTTCTTTTGCTAACAAATGCTGATTTAGTGGTGCAGAATATGAAGCATTGCTTTTGCATGTGGGATTGGGTATACATCAGTATAAATCTTACATGGTGAAACATCACTAACACATGAGCTAAATACTGTACAGTCATTGTAATTCTAAACTTGGCAAAACTGATTATAGCATGAAAATTTTTTAACTAATAATATAACCACAAATTGGAGCTGTACTTTAACTTTCAGTCTGAACTTTTAACTTCCTTTCTTACAGCAATTGCAAAAACTTAAGGCTGAAAATGAAAAATTGAAGGCTGAAAACCGAGCCTTGACTCGGGTGGTGTCCAAATTGACCAATTCAGCCACAGCAGGCATGGGTAACTTGGCCAACTTGAGTAAATAGGTAAACAAAGGGTAGAAGTGGGCAATCTGCTGCTAGTGTGAATGACTTTGTGGAGTCACCCAGCATGATCACACTGCCTGCGCATGACAGCTGTCGCAGTGTTTTGTCATATCCTTTGCTCGGGCCATGGGGGACCCTTATTATGTTTTGAGTGGCAGATACATAAAGTTGGTGTGAAGTGTATGTTGTTGCTTAATATTAGCTAACTCACACTTCATAAAAAGTCTTGAAGCCTGATGAATAATTACCAAATTAAAATAATGTGTAACCTGTTTTCATGTCACATTTTTAATTAACTTTTGTCACTGATATTACTCTACATTTATTATGCAATATTACTTGTAACCTAAGCACATTATTCTTTATTATTGGTAATATTGAGTTCTGAATGTAAAGCATTAGCTAATTTTCATCTACACCTAAGTGCTACTTTTACAAATAGGATTTTTTTTTTCCAAGGATCTTCTTGTAGTATAGATTTTCTTAGTATTATTTGGTTAAAAAAAAAAAAAACTGGCAAATCTGTTTTGCATGCTTTATGTGGTAATCAATAGTGATTTCATTTACTGAGTGGGAGTTTGCCCTTTACATTTGAAATCCAGATGTGGCTCTTTTTGTGTACATCACTCACCTTAGGCATTTGTTAAACATCAGTGTAGTATTTCTTCTAATTTTGACATGTTTCATATTATTGACATAAATATATATATATACAGTATAGTATAAGAGAATTGTATATTGTTAATTATTACTGATCTTCATTGCTGCATTTTCTCATTGCTCCTTTTATTTCAGTTATTGGAACAGTTGAAGCAAGAAAATCAACGGTTGAAAGATGAAAATGGGGCACTCATCCGTGTAATCAGCAAGCTCTCAAAATAGTGAAAAACCTTCAGCTTCTGATTATGTGGCTACTGTTGTCACAGATGTTGTGGATATCAGTTTAGGAACCCACAACTTAATCCAGTCATTACAGTATATGCTTCATGGAAATCCTGTGAGTGATTCAAGGGAGATCTGCACCTTTTAAGTCGCAATAAGCTCTTTGAAATTTGTATTAGTTATTAAAGCTGGCTCACTGCCCTTGCCATATTCTAGGTCCTGTTATGGTGACCATGCTTTATTTTTCTATCTTGAGTATATTGCCTAAATAACTTGTCTATGTAGGCTCAGTATGTGTGGTGTAGGTGCTTATACTTTGCCTCACAAATTGGTTGAATTAAGTGTTATATGGTGAAATGTAAATCTGCCAGTTGTCTCCCCTAAATGGTAATGTATGCCAAGTACTTAATCAGTAGAGTAAAATAATACAAATGATGCTTAATATCCAGTACACTAATAGGAGAATCTGTCTTGTGGAAGGAGGCGCAGATTAAATCAGTTTCACTATATAATAGTTGCTCTTGAAGGCAGTAATACCCAGAGATTTTGGTATATTCATTAGTTTGTGCTTTGTGGATGCTGGCTGATGAACTATTTGCTTGAATATCTCATTTGCAGGCTCAGGCATGTGAGAATTCTAGTAACATGTTCATCTTTGAGCCAGTGAGAAATTCACTGAAGCATATTTCCTATTATCTATCTCTAGTGAAATAAAATTAAAGACTCATACTCACTGATTGTCAAAGACAATCTTTCTATTCTTTTTATACTTAAGGAGCAGTATCCCAGTATACTAAGACAAAGTTTCAAGTCTGAATTGTGGGAAAGATCCCAATGACACTCACTCGGCCAGTGGCTACACATGTCCCCAAAGCCAAGTAAAACAAAAAATTCATGTATATTTGTGTGTTTTTTGCTCCTGTATCTAAGCTTTGCATTGTTCATAAACTTCATGTCCTCTTATTGTAATTACAAATATAGTATTGTTGGAGCATATTACCAGCCATTGATTGGCTTAATGAACCTCTACTGTCCAAGACCCAACTCATCAGTGGCCCAGGCCAGTTCTGCTTTTGTTCATTCAGTATTGCTTGTACAGTATCCATGCTGGATGCGTGGAGAAGACACTGTACATTATATGGTGTTGAAGAATTGTAATCATCTACTTTGTTGAATTGCAGGTGTATATAGAATTTGCACTCCTTGCTGAACTCAACATTGAATTTATAAATTATAAAACTAAAGCATAAATTATGCTACTAATAGTTATAATTCCTTAATGGTTCACTAAAAGCAACCTTAAATGCGCAGAAATAAATTAGTTTTTTTTAATGGAATTTCGTGTATACAAAATGTAACTGCCAAAGGCAAGCATATTTAATTAATAATATCAGACTCAATTAGGCTCATGATAGTGTTAACCAGCAGCCTTGAGGTAGTCACTTTCTCAAGCATTTTAAGATATATTTGTTCATGTGCTACATTAAATTCTAATTGTGTATATTGGGGTGGACACTTCTCATTCTGTAATATTATAGACCAAAGTTGTGTTAACATATATACTATGAATAATTTTACAAAGTTACAAAATATCTGTACTCTAATTGATTCTCAGTCTACACTTCAGTTAACATTTGTGCATAGCTGCCTGGTAAAACCAGATGAACCTGTCTTAATCAACTTTGTCAAGGTTCATAGGGAAGTATTTGACTCTAGGAATTCTAAATGCTTTTTCTTGTGTTAAGTCTTGTATGTTTTTTTTTTTTAGTGTTTTGTCCAGCAGATCACAGTGGGTCAGATTTAAACCTGTATAGGAAACTTTGTTTTTATGTGATTTGAAACTATTGTATATTAAGAACAATTGTTATATGTTATACATAGAGTAATGAACATATACATATTATACACAGAGTAATAAACATCATACATGTTGCAATATTAATGGAGTGCAAATAAGTGTAATCACCATTAGGTGAATGTTCCTCAATGGTTATTGCAAAAATGTATGGAAATAGTGATTGGTAATTGTTAAATACATATACATATATTGAGACTTGGCCATTCAAGGTGTATTAAGAATGTAGAATGTAACCTAAGCAACAATTCTTCAGGAGGAAAACTTTCCTTGTATTAATACATTATTACCTACCATTTCCCAGGTGCTGCATGACCCCTATGGGTTTAGCGCTTCCCCATGAATATAATTAGTCAAGGAGAAAAATTTACATATAAAGTGGAATTACAAATTTTCACAAGGACTTCCAAGGTGCTTAATTATTAGGTTGCATTATACTGTAATTAAGTTCCACACACTGATGAATGAGCCTTACCTTAGTACTATTTAGGATACACCATTTGGTACACTGGAGCTCTGCATTGTGCCTTAACCACCTGGTGATGCATTTTACTTTTTTTTTTTTTTCCTGTAATTGTGTTCATTGTAATACTTAGATTGTACTAAGGTCATGCATAGTGATCTCTTGTCATTTTGAAGAAACTGAGCCAAATAATTTGGGTAACATTGCAAATGCTCATCTTTTGTGACTACCCAATGAGATTCTGTGCCTTTGTGAATACATAGAAAATGAGGTCATTTGATTCTGTGAAAACTTGCCTTTGTATGCGCTGTTGTAATCTAAAATGTGTAAAATAGCCTGCTGTAAACATACCTGTTTTGTAAAGCAAAAAAACCATAAGCCAACAAAGGTTGGTTTATTAAAAAAAAATTAAAATTTTCATGTATGTTAATTTTATCACTTTGTAACTATGCTACAGTTTTTCAAACACATTTCAAGGATCAGTAACCACGGAATTGTATCCTAGTGGGTTCAGAATATGATTATTGTAGTAGAAATTTTTGTGGTATAATTATGAAGTGAAATTTTGTAGAAGAGCCTAGTCAAAGTCAGATTACCTTTGTAGGCTTAATGTTTATCAGACATAAGTTGCTTCATATATTACTATTAAATAAAACACAAACACACACACCCAAATTCAGGAGTTGTGACTCGACTCTTTCAATCACATATAGGCGAGTACGCACGCACATGCACACATACATACAACCCCCCTTCCCCCCAATCCTACCTTTTCTCCTCCCCCCCTCCACACAATATATATATATATACACACACACTGTATAGTACAGATCATTGAAGTTATTTCCCAGAACATCTTTTTTCATGACAGTGCATAAATTATGTCAAGTGCCTTTCTATTGTAATTATTATCTCTGAAGAAACAGTGATTTTAACTGCTAAGTTATTGTTCTATAGGTCATGAACTATTTGTAAGATTATCATTCAATGGTCTTGCCACATTGTCTGTAATTATCTGCAATAGATGGTAGTCATTTTTCTGAAATCTTACATAATTATAGCAAATATTTAAGAAATAAAGATATTTTATAGTTAAAATGGGCTTTCAGCTACCTGTTATTTTGAATATAATTCTATCTACAAAAAATTTTTAAAAGGTTTTACAGTACTGATGATTAACATGCAAGAAAGTGCTAATCCTTCATGGCCCCTTCAAGGAGAGGATTGGGAAGGGGGTGTTCCTTGACATGGTGAAGGTACTCTTGATCTAAGAAATTAATCCTCTTGCCTCCTTCCTTGGACTGACTCAGAAAAACCCACACCCTTCCCCACTTTCTATTGAGGGAGATTTCTCCATTGTGAATTTCAACTCCTAGGTAGAGGGACTTTATGGTAGTGCTGTTGGCTGTGATATTTGAATTATCTGTGGATGTGCTGGGTTTTCCTTGAGGCTCTGGTGGGTGACCTCACATTCTTGGATGAGAGAAGTATTCCTGGAGGCTGACTTTTGGTTCCAATAGGTGGTTGCCAAAGGGTTGCAAGTCTCCACCTCATGTTGGCCAAACCTGGCTTGGATGATCCTGGAGGTGCCATCCTGATTTACTAGGTTCTTGGTATACCAGGTAGGGTAGAGGGTGGTTTTCATGCTGCATCAACACTAATGACCACATAGTATTCTTCTTGCTTCTTGGATTATTATTATTAAGGGGAAGCACTAAACCCGTAGGATTATACAGCGCCTGTGGGGGGGGATGTGGAAGGTATTCAGGCTTAATTCAGGAAACTGGAGCACAGATCTAATTCCCTGAATCAAGATCCCCTCACCAGCATCAAGGAGCCTTCCTTGAGGGGCTTGCTTCTTGGAGTTCCCCCTCTTCCTCTTCAAGGGGGGGGCTCCTTGACATGGCAAAGAGGCTCTTGGTCTCAGAAATCAAACTCTTTGGTCTCCTTCCTTAGGCCGAGTCTAAGTGCCCCCCAATCCACCCTCCCCTTGTTCCCCGTCCCATTTGTAGCCTCTGGGGTCCTCCCCTCTGGCATTAGTTTCTAGGTAGGGGGTGGCATGTCAGGGTTTGTCCCACTCCATGGGGTCCCTCAGGGGGGTGGTGTGGTTTGCCATGGAATCTGAATTATCTGAAGGTGCCCTGCTCCCTTCCTGGATTTCTGGGAAGTGGGAATTATTATTATAATCAAAAAGAAGCACTAAACCACAAGGGCTATACAGCGCTGCAAGGCAGGAAGGAAGTGAGGGTATCAGGTGGCAAAAGAGATATGGACGAGTAATAGGTTACGGAGAACGGCGGTGCAGTGGATGGTGAAAGGGTAGAGGGCAGCAAGAGATTGAGGTAGAAAGGGCTGAGGGGAGTGCAAAAGGTATCATCATCAGAGTTTGTGGAGTAAATCAGTCATTGTCAAGAAGTCAATGAGAGTGTCAGGATTAAAGGAGGGTCCATCAGCAAGAAGGGAAGGTAAAGAGAGAGAGTAGTAGAGCGAAGACAATGACGGAGGTAAATTCTGCGTGCTCGTTGATAGAGAGGGCTAACAGAATGTGGCTAATCGATACTGGAACTTGACACTTCTCACAGAGAGGAACAGGGTGCCTCTCCATGAGATACCCATGAGTAAGACGCATGTGGCCAATGTGAAGGCGGGAGATAATAGTCTCCCAACCTCGGCACTGATGACAAGAAGACAGCCAGTAACCTATGCTAGGTTTAATAGAATGAAGTTTGTTACCGAGCAGAGTTGACCAACGTTGTTGCCAACAGGTGTGAAGGTGGGTAGCTATTACAGCAAAATAGTCCGGAAATGGAACACCTCTATATGAAATTGGTAGGTCATGTACTGCTGACCGCGCAGCAGTGTCTGCCTGTTCATTGCCCTGTACATGACCAGGGACCCAACAAAAAACAATATCTTTATGCTTGGTAGAGATACGGCATAGCCAAAGTTGGATATGGAGAACTAGGGGGTGAGGTGTATCAAATTTCCGTATAGCCTGTAGAGCACTAAGGGAGTCGGAGACAACCACAAATGATGACACAGGCATAGATGCGATGCGAATAAGTGCTGCAGGAATGTTATACAATTCAGCAGTAAAAATGCTAGCCGAAGATAGTAAATGCCCTTGCACGATGCTGTCCGGAAACACTGCTGCGAATCTGACGCCGTCAGAAGACTTAGAGCCATCTGTGTACACTGCGATGGCATGAGAATGAGAGTGGAAGTGGTCAAGAAAAAAAGAGCGGGAAGCCACCGTAGGCAGTTGGGCTTTCGAGCAAGGGAGTGAGAAAGAACAGACCCGAACAGCTGGAACTTTCCAGGGGATTGGAGAAAAGTGAGATGCTACATGAACATATAAAGGTGGTTACTGAAGGGAAGACTAGCAAATGTAGGCGAAGAGAGAAGGGGCGGCAAACAAATAATGTCTACTAATATCGGTGACCATTCCATAAATGGAAGGATTGCGGAGATCGTGAGAGCGTACATAGTAGCGAAGGCAATGAGCATCACGGCGATCAGACAAGGATGGAACATTCGCTTCTGCATAGAGGCTCTCAACAGGGGAACAGCGAAAAGCACCAAGGCAAACGTAACCCTTGGTGATGGATGGGGTTAAGGCTAGAGAGAGTAGCAGGAGAGGCCGCTGAATAGATCTGGCCACCATAATCGAGTTTCGATAAAATGAGGGCTGAATGTAGGCGAAGGAGAGTTCAACGATCAGCTCCCCATGAAAGATGAGGAAGGGTTTTAAGAAGGTTCAGCTGGCTGTGACAAGTTGCCTTCAGAGAGGTAATGTGAGGTTTGCAGGATAACCTACGGTCAAAGAGAAGGCCTAGTAACCTGACTGTATCACGTTCAGGGATACAGGAGCCATAGAGGTACAAAGGATGACAGAGCGTCTAGTGAAAGTAATTTGGCGAGTTTTGGTACTGGAAAATTTAAACCCATGCGTGGTGGCCCAATTGGAAACACAATTGACTGCATGCTGGAGAAAGACTGTAATGAGGTGACAGTCAGCGCCTGCACAAGCAATAGCGAAGTCATCTACATAGAGTGATGACCAAATATTGGATGGAAGAACAGAGGCCAAATCATTTATAGCAAGGAGAAAGTGTTGTGCTCAGAACACATCCCTGAGGGATACCTTCAGCTTGGACAAAGTCCGGGGAGAGCACATTATTGACTCGAACACGGAAATGTCTGTCAGTTAAAAAGTTCTTAAGGAAGGATGGTAGATTGCCTCAGAGACCTACAGAGTGGGCTTGGGCCAAAATATTATACCTCCAAGTTGTGTCATATGCCTTCCCAAGGTCAAAAAATATGGTTATTAACCGAGTGGTTATTAGCAAAGGTATTACGAACATATGTACCCAAGAGTAGTAAGGGGTCTATGGTAGATCGACCCTTACGAAAGCCATATTGACTAGTGGAGAGACTGTTGTGTGTCTCTAAATACCACATTAAACGTCAATTTACCAAACGTTCCATCACTTTGCAAACTGCACTAGTAAGAGCAATGGGATGATAGTGGGAGGTATCGTGTCCCGTAGTACCCAGTTTGCGGAAAGGGAGAACAATGGCAGATTTCCACAGCTGGGGAAGAACTCCTTGTGACCAAATAAGATTGAAGAGGTGTAAGAGGACTACAAGGGCTGACTGATGTAAATGTTGTAACATCCAAATATGAATGTCGTCAGGCCCAGCTGCCGATGATCGGCAAGCTGAGAGTGTTGCCTCCAGTTCCCGAAGTATAAAAGGCACATTATACTGTTCTTCTCTGAGAGAAGAAAAGTCCAAGGGTACTAACTCTCTGGCAGACTTTGAGGAATGAAACGAGGGGCATAGATGGAGCCCCCAGGAAATACGTACCAGATGAGTGCCAATTTCAATGGCAACATCAAGAGGGTTTCCTATATCAACACCGGTGACCCGTAGAACAGGAGCCGGGTCAGGAGAGTATTTACCACTCAATTTCCTCACTTTTTTCCAGACTGCACTTATATAGGAAGCAGAGGTGATGGAAACATAATCTCGCCAGCAAGTGCGTTTAGTGTCACGGTTGACACGGTTCTATTGTACCGGTACCTGCTGCATGCAGCGTGTTTCAAATGTACTGCACGAGCACAAGCAGGAGACCACCAAAGCACGCACTTCTGAGAATGCCTGCCTGAGGTTTGGGGTACAGAATGAGAAGCTGCGGTTAAAACTGACGTCGAGAAGAGGTGTAGGAGCTCATCAATGGAGGATGAAGAAGGAACCTCACTAAAAGCAGTTGAGTTGCGAGTAAACGTCCCAATTTGCCCGATCAAATTGCCAGCGAGGGCTACGGAAAGGTGGTGAATATGAAGGAGAAGTAAGAATGATTGGAAAATGATTGCTGTCATGTAAGTCTGGTAGAATAGACTAGTGCAGTGGAGGAAGAGCAGACCGATAGATCGATGCAAGAGAGAGTAAGAATACGAGGATCAAAATGGGGGGGAGTACCCATATTTAAAACATGGAGGGGTGAGAGGCGAGAACAGCCTCCAACTGGATGCCACGCGAGTCACAATGAGACCCCCCCAGAGGAAATGGTGGGCATTAAAATCGCCAAATAACAGAAGTGGTGGTGGTAAGGATGAAACAAGAAAGGCAAAATCTGGGATAGAAAATGCCCGAGAAGGAGAGAGAGATATAAAGAACATATTGTAAACCACTTATTCAAGTGGATACGGGCTGCAGTGTAATGCAGCGAGGTATGGACAGTACGGAATATCACTGCGTAGAAGAAGGGCACTTTCATTAAAGGTCCCATCTGAGAAAGGATCCAAAGGATACAGTAAATTATAGCCTGAGATAGGTTGGAAAACAGCCGAGTGTAATTTTGGTTCTTGTAAGCAAACACCAACGGGAAAACCTGGAAAGCAACATCCGAAGCTCACCCCAATTACCCCTGAGGCCGCGGATATTCCACTGTAAATATGCCATGATTGGGAATGAGGAAAATACCAGGAATCCATAGGGAAGGGCACCTGCGGACTAGAAGGGTTAGTAAAGTCAATGTGCGGTGGCATCGGAAGACGTTCAAGCAGCGAAGGAACGGAGCATTGCGAAGAATG